GAATTCAAATGGTTAAAAGTGCTAATTTCGGGTGCCTCCCTTCAAGTTTATGGTTATCAGAAACAAATCATGCCATTTTCGGAATGAAACCTTTGAATGATAAAAAAAACTCCCAAAAATATAAATTTATGCTCCTCGATGAATTAATATTAATTGGGATTCTGCAGGCCAAGAAAATCCATACCAGATACATTGATTATATGATGCTGCTATTAAAGATATGCTATCAAATATATTTTGGAAAGGAGTAGTTCACCCTCCTTACATTTGAAAGTATAAAGAAAATATCATGGGTTTTATTGTAAAAAGTGGATGTCATTTTTCAACATGTGTGGACTCGTAGAATTACTGGTCTGGAATGTTTTTCCTACGATCGAAAAACGACCCTACTTGTCGTAGAATATTGACCCTGAGTCATTTTTCTACGTAGAAAATATTCTACGGTCAATATTCTAAGGGGGTCACTTTTCGTCGTTACAATGGCATAGAAGTACTTAAAAAGCAAACTGCTCCAAAAAACTGTAACCTGGGACGCCGACGCCGAGAGTATCACACATAAACTTCCCCCAACTTCGTTGAGGTGAGATAAAAATTAAAAGAGCATGAATTACCGGTATTCCCTGTCCAGTAAAAGAGGAACACAGCCTGAGCCACCTAAAAATATCTAGCAGAAAAAGCAGTATATTATATCTTTGATTTGTTTGCAGATGCTTATTTTTATTAACAAATGACGACAGGAAATAAGTTTGATGACAAAAAGTACATGTACATGTCATTTTTTCAGAGTTCTTTTAGAGCTACAGTACAGGCAACGCGGATCCCGTATTAGACCGCGTCCCCTCCGCGGTGTATTAATCCTTTCCGCGTTACACCGTCGCGGGTTTTGATCGCGGTGCTACCTGAGACCGTGTTTACACCGCGGCGGGGCCCGCTACCGTTATTCTTCAGCTTACATGTTCTTACCTGTAAAGTATTGTCGATTTTTAATCGTGTCGAAATGAGGGGGGAGGGGGGAGGATTACGACCACATTAATATTAATAGATTTATACCATTACATGGATTCTTTAAAAAATTCATTTTTAAGTTTTATCAAATTGTTTAATAAAAAACATCTTTCTTTTTTTTTACCAATGGTCACTCAAAATTAATTAATTCTCAATAACGTCTGTTAACAGTAATACATGTACAGTATAGGATTAAATAAAGTCGAATAATTTATCGAATATATTAACTTAAAGTTTATTTTCAAAATCAATAATGCCACCCCAAATGATCTTCAAATTGCTAAAAAGGTATAATTAAAATTTAAAGAATGTTATGATATCGCTTCTCTTTATATGCACTGTAATCCGCTGTTCGTAATTAGCCCGTGCAGTTGCAGTTACATGTAGCTATGTGTTTATTTATCTGCGAGATTATATCAGTCATTTGGTTTCATTTAGAAAAATACCGTTACTTCTGTATACATGTCTGTTATAAATAATAGCATGAAAAACGATGATAGATAGTGATACATAATTACAATTAAATTTTAACAAAACACGCGTAAGTGTAGGAATACCGTTGCTCCATTATTATGCGCTACACTGTAACACTATGAACTAAATATCGACCTTTTTTTTGGGGGGGGGGGGGGGTTCTTGTTAATAAAATTATCACAGGTATTTCTATTCAGAATATTAATAATATCATAGCTAGTATTTGAATGTATTTTTATTTTCTGCTCTTTTCGAAAATTACTAAAATCATGTTTATGAACATAAACAAATTTCAGATTTCTCCGGTTCAAATAAAACACAAACACAAATATGGGCCCTTAAAATATTTGAACACACAACACAGAAATTAACTTATTTTAATCAGCAAGTTGCCATGCTTCAAGTTTTCTGTGTAACCGTTCGGTTTTCCTCAGGTAAGTTTGGTGTGGAGTGGAGCTTACTCGAAGCGGATGAGAAGGCTCAGAAGCCCCGAGGGAACGACGCTGTCTAGTGTACATATTACCTATATACACAGGATGTTACCTGAGTGTATTACCTGTATGCGTTTTCCTACGACATTGTAAAACGAAGCCTTTTTTTTTTCATGTGTAGCTCATGAATTGAAATGCAAGAAAGAAAGAATGTTTTTGTTGCAGACAGAATCCTTTTTAAATTTTTTGTTTCAAATAAATATTTTCAAGAATTCGACAACTTTAATATACTGTGTTTTTCTTAATCAAATTTTATAGCAACTAGAGGTACTGTGAGCAATGAGCTCACTAAATGATACCCCCCGCCTCCCATATGGTTATAACTGGTGAAAAAGTCCATGGTTTCCTGTGGCCGGGAAACCCAAAATATGTGTCGGATCAAAAAGTAAAATAGGAGGTGCACAATGGCAATATGTAATAAAGATTCTGTGAAAGTTGCATCAATTTTCATTCAGTGGTATGAGAGGAGTTGCGGATAAGAGATGGGTACCCCAAAGCGTAACAGACGGACGGACGGACAGACGGAAGGACAGACGGAAGGACGGACGGACGGACGGACAGACGTACAGACGGACGGAATTAACGATTACTATATACCCTCCCGCTTTTCAAGCGGGGGGTATAAAAATACATTTTATTTTACCACCAAAATCTGTCGTTGTAATCTGGCGACAAAAAGGGAAGTAATTCAAATTACATGTCATGTACATATGCTAAACGAAAGAAGAAAGTGGATCATAAACAAGTCTCTGGATAAATAACAATAAATCTTAGACAAATTCGACAAATGGTCAATAAACTGATAAATCGGCGGTAGTTTTATTCGCTAAACTTAAGAAATTGATATACTGATCAGAAAGGAGGAAAAACGATCATGCACGTGCCTTAATACTGTGATATTTTTCTTCTCTCTATCTCCTCTCTCTCTCTCTTTCAATCTTCTAACTGGTACAGATATAAACAGACACGAAATAACATAGTAATGGATCATTATTTGATTTAATTGATATCAAATACTTCATTAATTTGTTTTAAAAGTTTTTTTTTTTACTTTTATTCTTTTCATACACTCCGTTTAAAAAAAAAGCAACAATAATTTGACACAAATTCCAAGGCTGATATCGCATCTGAAAATGATATCGATGAAATAATAATGAAACAATGAATCAAATGTGTTGTTGAATGGCTAGACAACGACGTGCACATCCAGCGAGCGTTACCCAAGGTATACTATAATACAGGTGTGAAACCCCCAGGGCATATCGTTTCCTGCTCAGGCACTGCTAATCCCTATACACAGGAAATGATCGCGGCTAATACTTAATACACAAAGCAACAGAATTTGTCAAAGAAAACAAAAATATATGAATTTTTGCATTGAATATTTATTAATACAAACTATAATTTCGTCTGTGAAGTTTATCATTACACCTGCACTTCCTATCTTATCTATTGAACACGAAAATCGAGAAATATTAAAATTAAAAAGAAAGACATTGCATTAAAAAGTAAAATATGTTAATGTGAAGGTGAAAAACGATATTTTTTCTTGATCTCTTGTATAAAGTTCACGTGCTCTCGTCATCGAATGCTTTCCGGTCATTTGACAATTTGAGAAAAATGCCTGCACATTTATATAAAAGAGGGAAATACATTAAAGAAAATTAATTAATTAAATTAACTTAATTTGGGAACAGAACATAAACGATGAGAAATAAAGAAGAATAGAACTTTTCCTTGATATCTTGGATAAAGAAAATTTAAGTTCACGTGCCCACTACATGTAACTGCAAATGCTCGACATCGGATGTTTTCCGGTAATTTGACACTTTAAGAAAAAGCCTGTACATTTTATATACAATTAATCGAAATTAATTAATAAACAATATGAAGATGTACATTTTTTAAAAGATGTACATCTTTTTTTTTTTTCAAATGAATGCTGAAAATCGTTCATCGAAACTTAAACAGTCTGAGTTCAACATTTATTACAGTTTGCATATAATATGAAGATTAAAAAAAAAACTAATTAAAATTTCTAGTATTTTATTTTGTTTCTTGATAGATTCTTAATAACACAAAAAAAATAACCAATTGCAAAGACGTAACAATTTACTAAAATTTTCTATTCAATTTCAAAGATTGATATGTAATTTTAGAAACAAAAATAAACTTATTTTTTCTTAGTTTAAATTCTATTCATAGCAAAATTTATTAATAAATACACGGTTTTTTTTTTTTTGTTTGTTTTTTTTTTTTTTTTTGTTTTTTTTTTGTTACAGGGAAAATTCGTATGTATATTATATACAAAGTTAGGAAGTTTGCAGGGACAAGGTGATCAGACTATACATGGCTATTTTACGCTGAGAACATGACAATTACACAATATCGTAAAAAACACGTTTTATGATCAATATATATTATCATAACAATAACTTGATCCGAAGGGTCGTATCACGTCGAGTTGTCAGGCGCGGATCATAAGATTTAACGAGACGCGTCGAGTTTGATCTGATGATCCGCGCCAGTCAACCAGACGTGATACGGCTCTTCGGATCAAGTTACTGTTATAATGATAAATTTATTATATACCCCATTATAACTAGCTAAATATAGCAGAATAAAACTTTAGAGATCAATTGTATAATATTTATCCATAAAACAAAGCAGAATAACAAGGGACTTTTTAACGCGCAAGAAAAATAACGTCATGTTTTTGCGTACTACGTCATCAGTTTCAGAGAGTGGTGATATGGATTCAGAAAACCACAGTGTGGTGATCCGGAAAATCGGATCAAACTCTGTAAAATTAACAGTAACAAAAACAAGGAAATTGATGGGCATATAATGAATCGGATTACCTTGCCTTTTTGCGTGCGACGGGAAAAGGATGAGGTGATCCGACTGTATCTATGACGTCACTTGAACGTAACAATCAGTGTGACGTAACAATCATCACTACAACAAAAAGCGAAGTCGAGAGGCAAAAAACGGAGGTAAAAGTCACCCCAGATATTTGTCTTTTTAGATCAATACAGGGTCATACATTAGGATATTCTGTTTTAAATGCGCGTAAAAAATTAGGTACTTATAACATGATAATCTGTTTTTTTTCTTTTAGTAGAAGTGCAAAAATCATGGACTACAGCGCAATTCTGGATTTTGGAGATAACCCTGCCACAGATGTAGTAAGTTCACTCAAACATACTTAGCTATTGTAGTAAGTTCACTCAAACATACTTAGCTATTGGAGCACAAACCTTAATTTGATATTTTAATAAAAGTATATCCAATACCAAGTATTTTAGGTATTTCTGTGGTAAATTAATTACTTTATTTTATTAGCATATGAAATAATTAATTAAGATCTAGAGATCTGGCCAATACCCTCTTGTTTTTTATATTGTTTTATATTGGTTCCCAAATCTCTCCATAGTCAGGTGTTAATTAGAAGGACACCCCTGATGTTTTCTAGGTTATAAAAAAATATTTCTATGTAAAAGTAACAAAAAAGATCTTGAATTTCTCTCACGAACACCCCCTTCCTCCTGGAAATACAGATTCCGTTTAAAATTGTAATCAAAATCATCTACCCGGTATCTGAAGAAAACTGGTTCAAGGAAAGACCCCCCCCCCAATGGGATTTTTAATTTTGCATTTATTCCTGTCCCTGTACATTTATCTTTGAGAGGCTGCTTCTTGGGAGGGGGGATGGTATGAATTTTTTTGTGGAGGTTGTTTTTGTGTTTTATTTTATTTTACTTTAGGTGGTCAAAAATGCAATCCTGTTAGATTTAGCTTTTTAAAGACCTTCAAGGCCTAAAGCAAGTAATAACAGTGGGGGAGGGGAGGTTATGCACAACTTGACATTTTTAGCTCACCTGAGCCGAATGCTCAAGTGAGCTTTTCTGATCACATTTTGTCTGCAGTCCGTCTGTCCGTCTGTCTGTCTGTAACTTTTCACATTTTCGACTCAAGAAAATCTCAAGAAGCATTGGGCCGATTTCAACCAAACTTGCCACAAAGCATCCTTAGGTGAAGGGAATTCAAGTTTGTACAAATGAAGGGCCACGCCCTCATTCATGGGGAGATAATTGGGAATTAATAAAAATTTGGTGGCATGTTTTAAAAATCTTCCTCTTAAGAACCACTGTGCCAGGAAAGATGAAACTTATATGCAAGCATCTTCAGGTAGTGTAGATTCAAGTTTGTTCAAATCCTGTCCCCCAGGGGTAGGGCGGGGCCACAATCCCCGACCAAAATTTGACATAGAAACATATAGGAAAATTCTTTGAAATTTTTCTTCTCAAGAACCACTGTGCCAGGAAAGATGAAACTTATATGGAAGCATCCTCGGGTAGTGTAGATTCAAGTTTGTTCAAATCATGACCCCCGGGGGGTAGGGCTGGCCCACAATGGCCGACCAAAAATTTACATAGAAATATATAGGAAAATTCTTTAAAAATCTTCTCAAGAACCACTGTGCCAGGAAAGATGAAACTTATATGGAAGCATCCTCGGGTAGTGTAGAATCAAGTTTGTTCAAATCATGACCCCCGGGGGTAGGGCGGGGTCACAAAGGCCGACCAAAGTTTTATATAGAAATATAAAGGAAAATTCTTTAAAAATCTTCTTCTCAAGAACCACCGTGCCAGGAAAGATGAAACTTATTTTGAAGTATCCTGAGGTAGTGTAGATTCAAGTTTGTTCAAATCATGACCCCCGGGGGTAGGGCGGGCCAAAACGGACGACCAAAGTTATTATTTTTCTCAAGAGAGCAAAGTCATGATTGGTCATGGGACTACTTTTGGATTTTAACTTTTCAAAAATGATCGAATCAATTTCTACTTTTTCCTTGCCACAGTGCTCAGGTGAGCGAGCGATGTGGCCCATGGGCCTCTTGTTTGGATGGACATTACAAAGTAAAAGTTCCTTGACATGCCATATAAATATTGGTATATTTAGAAGGTCATCAAAACTAACTTTTGAGGGGTACATTCATTCTTCCCTTAAATCATTTTTATGCATTCTATCAAACATCTAAACTTGCTGATCATATAAATATTTTCAGGACACAAAACTGAAGATCTTAAAGTTCAATTATTCATGGGTCGATGCTGTGGAGGAGGAAGAGAGACGTGTGGAGGTACAGAATAGAAATTATCTGTGTATAAGATATATAATAGAAATTATCTATGTTTAAGTTATATAATAGAAATTATCAATGTATAAATTATATGATAGAAATTATCTATGTATAAGTTATATAATAGAAATTATCTATGTATAAGATATATAATAGAAATTTTCTATGTTTAAGTTATATAATAGAAATTATCTATGTATAAATTATATGATAGAAATTATCTATGTATAAGTTATAAAATTGAAATCATCTATGTACAATTAATATAGTAAAAATTATCTATGATTAAATTATATAATAGATATTATCCAATGATTAAGGTATATACCAATATAGAAATTATCTATGATTGAGTTATTAGTATAATACAAATTATTTATGATTAAGTCATATAATAGGAATTATTTATGCATATGATACTATTGATAGGAAATTATCAATCTATATGATAAATATATGGGGAATTATCTATATTTAAGATAAATATTAGTTTACCAGTACATTCATGTCTTTATATTAATAGAAAAATACCCCCTTTTAAGTGATTTTTTGGTTGTTATGGGTTTTTTTTCCAAAAAGTGACAAACAAATATTGTGACAATGGTTTTTGTAAAATTTTGTGTAAAAAATTAATTTGATATACATTTCCATGCTCATATTTCATATATCCCCATTTTTTATATGGAAGGAGGAGCAAAAGCAGAAAATAGAGAAGAAAAAGTTGGAAAAAGAAATTCTAGAGAAGAAAAATGACAACACACATGACATCAGGTATGATCATGCAATCACTGACCCAAAAATAATTATTGTATTCCAATATGCTATATGTTCTGTTATCAATGTTTGGTGGTAATTTAAAGACAGACTTTAAAAAATATTGTTGTCATTTGTATTTTTGTAGAGTTGCAACACCTTTAGATTTTGGACATGAGGCAGTGAAAAACTGGGTAAGTACATGCATTTAGAATCCAGTTTGTATCTTCTCAAATATACACAACTGATATTGTTGCTAATATATTTACATTAATTACCAATGTCTTTATCTAAAATAATACTACAAATAAGATATTGGCTTTATAGCCCTATGGAAGGATATGGAGATAACGAACAGTAGTAAATATCAAAGTCCAATAAACAATACAAAATGGGAGCAGAGCAAACACGGGTCTCCGAAACATCAGAGGTGGGATCAGGTGCCATGGAAAAATGAGCATCCCCTGCTGACCGGTCACACCATCCGTGTGCTCATTTTCGTGATCGTGAAATAACGGAAAAATCCGTCGTCAATTCAGTGTATAAATACATGACTAACATTTGGTATGAATAACTTCAGTTAGCATTTGACTCAATGATAAATTGTATTTGCTGACAAGGTCATTGTATCGAACATAGAACTTGCGATTGATTTGTTGAATAATATCCATCAGACTGGAATTCATTTTTGATAATCAATGTTATGTACAGGTACATCAAAACATTTTAGTCCAACTTTATATATTGCATGTTTTCATGCATTTATAGAATAAATAAAATATACATGTCCAATGTATATTTAACATGGCTTCTAACTTGGTTGTTCTATATTTAGGAAACAAAGCTCCAGATACTCAAGTTTAGTTATAGTTGGGCAGATCAGGTTGAAAAAGAAGAAAAAGCAGCAATTCAGGTAACATTTCTGCTAAACGAATCAATTTTCAAATTATAATACCACTCTGACATTCATTTGGGATTATTTTCATATATTTGATATGACAACTCTGACATCCCAATTACCATTTTATTTTTGTAGGAGGCAAAACCTGCAGAGAAAAGAGTTCCAAAGGAGGAAAATGAAACAAATAATAGAAGCTTTGGAAAAACCCTGACAAAAGATGAAGCAAACTTTCTTTTGGAGGGAAATAAAAACTCTCCTAGGGGGTTAGTCACTTTTTTTAAACTTTTGACACTGTAAAATAAATATTAAAATCTTTATGGTGTTTGTCAGTACCCTGCAAAATTTTTCCACAGTAATAACTATTCAAGGAATTAATATCTGAGCCATAGATAATTGTATACCTCAAGGATGATATACTTAACTTTGAAAATATGTATTTGAATTTTTTAAACTACTTTAATTTATGGCAATTAAATATATACATGATATATAAGCTTGGAAACTTACTTAACTTAATTTAATCAATTACAGGAGGCTAAAAGCTTTCATAAGAAAGCGTAAAGAAGAAGAAGCCAAGGCCTGTATCAAGGAGGAAAACAAAACAAAGACTTCTAGAAATGGTGGAACCCTGATAAAAGACCAGGCCATTGCAAAAAAGTCTCCAAGGGGGTTAGTCACCTTTTTCAATTTTTACGTCACCTGAGGAAACTGTATGTTTCCCATAGCAAAACATGGACACTGCCTTTTTATACATACGGGAGGCGGGGGTATCATATAGTGAGCTCATTGCTCACAGTACATTAATCCTGGTACTAAAACCTAGGAAAATATCAATATGGATTTCTGACATATAACTAAATTCTAAGCTTGCAAATTTATTTAAAATAATTTATTTATTTACAGAAAACTAACAGCATTTATCAAAAAACGCAAAGAAAGGGAACTTGCAAAGGCCTTGATTGAAAGAGAAAACATAAAGAAAGTACAGGTAAAATGATCATTTCTTTATTGGACAACTGTGATTTACTTGTTAAAACTTTCCTGAAAGCTATTTAAATGGAATAAGAACCAAAGTTACAATAATAAGATTATTATTGAGTAAAATACGAACAAAATGGTAAACAAACCATTTCTTCCATTATTTTAGGCTGCTGATTCCACAAAACAAAAAGATGCAGTGGATACGAAAAAGGCATTAGATCAAGAAGCATTTGGAGATGAGAAGGAATCCCTTGTTCCAGAGACTCCAACGGATGTGAAGAAAGATAGCCATACACTGGAAGAGCTCTTGATGGATGAAACAATAGCAACACCAATTGGAGATACCGAAGTCTTAGAAGTCAACAAGGATCTAAAGATAACACTTGAGGTATTTAAAACACAGCATTCACATGTACTTTGCAGATGAATTATGAATTACAATTAGGATGGCAAAAGAGACTTGTAAAAATTCGTATTCATTTACACTTTTAATGTTCTTTCTATAATTTTTGAAAGTTGTTAAAATATTTTTGTTAACTATTACTTTCAGCTTTTGAATAAGGATGATGATAAGTTTGGTGATGATGAAGATGACAATGCTGATGATGATGATGACTGCTTATTTGGGCCAAGAAAACTATTCTTCTTTGGCATAGATTATTTTAAGGTAAAGCAAATCTACATTATTTCGTAACTTTCTCAATTTGTATCATGAGACGAAAGTATTTTATTTTTAATGACAATGTAATTTATGAAATTGCATCCTTTTATTGTTATCACAAATATTTCAAAGACTTCTAATCAACCAAAATGTAAAGAAATAGTCACCCCCTTCCATCATCATGTCAAACAAAGTTCATGCTATTTTAACATGGTAAATAAAAATGATTAAATTCAATTCCTCTTAAAATATTTGATTTATGATTTTTCCTAATTTTTCATCTGAAACAGGATTCTGGAAAAGCTGTGTGGCCAAAGGAAGCAAGAGCGAAAGAATGCAACAGATAAAACAATGAAACTACTTTAAAAAGAACTTTTTTTTCCTCACAAAAATAAATTTACAACAGAACCAGAGGTTTTGTTCTTTTTGAAGACATATGTAGAGAAGGATCATTGATTAGACCCCTTACAAAATCTTCCATGCAGTAATTAGGTAAATCTGCAATGGATCTACATGTAGTATGACAAATAAAGTTCTTGTTACAAGGATTACACATGTGAAATATGAAAGCTCTAGCCCCTATTGTTCAAAAGTTATGGTCAAGGTTAAATTTTGTAAAAAGTAGATCAAACTCCAAGGTCAAAGGGTCAAGGTTCTTGGTATCCAATGAAAGGTCTTTTCACAAGGATTATATATTTGAAGTATGAAAGCCCTAGTACGTATTGTTCAAAAGTTATAGCCAAGGTTATAGTTCTTTCATAGGTATGTAAATCTCCAAGGTCAAAAGGTTCAGCTTGTTGGTATCCAATGAAAAGTCTTTTCACAAAAAATGAAGTAAAAGTTTAAAATTTTCCTGTCAGAGTGGGTCAACCTCCAAGGTCAAAAGGTCAATTTTGGTGGTACCAAAAAAAGGTCTTGTCACAAGGAATACACATGTGAAATATGAATGTCATAGCTCCACTAAATCAAAAGTTATAGGCAAAGTTAAAGTTTTGCGGACAAACAGACAGAGAAACAGCTGGACAGACGGACGGACATGACAAAACTAGATACCCCTGAAACTTCGTTTATGGGGGCATTAAAACACTCAAAATATAAAACCATGGCACCACCGGTTCAAAGGTTATGACCAAGGTTAACGTTTTTAAAGGTAGGACATACTCTGGGGTCAAGGTCAAAGGGTCAAGTTTGTTGGTACTCATTGGAAGGTCTTGCCACAAAGAATACATATATGAAGTTTAACTGTCCTGTTATATACCGTTCAAAAAAGATGTCCAAAGTAAAAGTTTGGAATTTTGTGTAAAAGTCAAAGATCAAAAGGTCAAAGTCGTGATACACAAAGAGAGGTCTTGTCACAAGGAATACACATGTGAAATATGAAAGTCAAACCTCCACTAAATCAAAAGTTATGGGCAAGGTTAAAGTTTTTGTGGACAGAAAAACAGCTAGACAGTACGGAAGCCCGTTGGTGCCACGTACGAAAAATATTTTATCTGGCGGCCGCCACATATATATCTGGCGGCCGCTACTTATTATTTGGCGGCCGCCACATATATATCTGGCGGCCGCCACTTATATATCTGGCGGCCGCCACATAAATTATTTCGCAAAATGTGAGTGTTATTGGGTTAAGAAGAAAGAAGATGGATGTTGACACAACCGCTGCTTACTGAAAAAAAAGAAAATGATAAAAAACGAATTCTGAAATATTGGAACACTATTCTTGGAAATCCAAAATGCAAAACTTTATTTAATTCTCAACCAATCATAGCTTACAGCAAACACCATGATTTATGTCCGTGACCCCTGATGAGGCTTCCTAATAATCGAAACACTCTACAAATACTTGCATAATTCAAATCAAATATTAATCTGCGCTATGCAAAAACATATCTATTAGAGGTGTGGATTGGAGTGTTGGTTCATAAAAAATCTCTTACAAGTTTGGTTGATTGATGTTGCTATTATAATTTTAACACTGTATCCACCTCTTAAACCACACATTAAAACATGCGTGCGCATCAGGAAGCCAGGTGTTATCTGGCGGCCGACATATAAATTATGTGGCGGCCGCCAAATATTATGTAGCAGCCGCCAGATATATAAAAGGCGGCCGCCAGATAAATCATGTGACGGCCGCCAAATAATAAGTGGCGACCGCCAGATGTTATATAGCGGCCGCCAGATAAATTATGTGGCGTCCGCCAGATATTATATAGCGGCCGCCAGAAAAATATGTGTCGGCCGCCAGATATTATATAGCGGCCGCCAGAAAAATGTGTGGCGGCCGCAAGATAAATTATGTGGCGGCCGCCATAAAAATTATTTGGCGGCCGCCATATATTAAGTGGCGGCCGCCAGATAATAAGTGGCGACCGCCACATAATTATCTGGCGGCCGCCAGATATACAAGTGGCGTCCGCCAAATAATAAGTGGCGGCCGCCAGATAAAATATTTTTCGTACGTGGCACCAACGGGCTTCCGTAAGACAGACAGACGGACGTACATGACAAAATCTATATACATGTATATACCGACGAAACTTCGTTTACGGGGGCATAAATATACATTTTACATATTAAATACATAGAAAATAAATGTAATATTGTTTATAAATGTAATTTTAGGTACTGTTGGACTTGAGTTTGTAGTTTTTATGCCCCCATAAACGAAGTTTTGGGGGTATATAGTTTTTGTCGTGTCCGTCCGTCCGTCCGTCCCTCTGTCTGTTTGTCCACAAAATCTTTAACCTTGTCCGTAACAGACAGACGGACGGACTTGACAAAAACTATAATTATAGATGTATATCCCCCCCTCCTGAAACTTCGTTTACGGGGACATAAATATACGCTTTTCATAGAAAATGCATAGAAAATAAATGTAATATTGTTTATAAATGTAATTTTAGTTACTATTGGACTTGAGTTTGTAGTTTTTATGCCCCCTTAAAAGAAGTTTTTATGCCCCTAGAATCGAAGATTTGGGGGCATATAGTTTTTGCCGTGTCCGTCCGTCTGTCTAGCTGTCTCTCTGTCTGTCTGTTTGTAGGCAAAAACTTTAACCTTGCCCGTAACGTTTGATCTAGTGGAGCCATGACTTAGACTATTTTATATTTAACGTGTGTATTCCTTGTGACAAGACCTTTCTTTGAATAGCACCAAATTTGACCTTTTGACCTTGACCTTGGAGTTTGACCCACTTGTACATGAAAACTTTAAACTTTTACTTTGGCCACATCTTTTTAACAGTATAAACCAGGACATTTATACTTTACATATGAATTTTTTGTTGAAAGACCTTTCATTGGATGCCAACAACCTTGAACCTTTTACCTTGACCTTGTAGATTTCCGTACTTGTGAACCTTAGCCATAACTTTTGAACGGTAAGGGATAGATATATACTTCATATATGTAATACTTGTGATAATACTAATAATACTTGTATCCATCATTGGAAATCAAGAACTTTGACCCTTTGACCTTGACCTTTGAGTTTGACCTACTTTAAAAACGCAATTATTGACCATAACTTTTGAAGGGTAAGGGGTAGTGCTTTCATACTTTACATATTTAATCCTTGTGTCAAGAACTTTCATTTGATAACAAGAACTTTGACCCTTTGACCTTGGAGTTTGAACTACTTTAAAAAAAATTAACCTTGGCCATAACTTCTGAACGGTTAGGGTTAGGGCTTCCATACTCTGCATAAGTATTCTATGTGGCAAGACCTTTCATTGGATACCAATTACCGTGACCTTTTAACATTGGCCTACTTTCAAATTGCACAATTGTTTTCTAGTGAGAATACCCTACTTTTGGTACCAATTAATTAAATTTGCATTTAACAAAAGTTTAATCCTTGCTAAGTTGCCATACGGGGGCATCAGTGTTTCACAAAGACATCTTGTTTGTTGATCGAATTGTTTTCATTAATTTTCACAGTTTATATCCTTTTATTGCCAAGGGTATACAAGTTTTGAAGTCCTGAGTTATAATAACACAATTTAATAATTTAACGAGATGAAGATAAATATATATGAAGCTTGGAAGTACATTGTATTTTAAAAGAACATGCATTTGATTCAAAATCTATTTTTACTGGGCACTCCACAAATTAACCAGTAATTACGTAGTAACTGTAAGTGATTATTCTTCTTGATTGCGACAAATATCCGGGGCTGAAAATTATCAGGAACAAGGAAGACAAGATGTGGTTTGTAAAACACAGATGCCCCCGTATGACAACATAACGAAGGTTAAACGTTCTCAAATGTAAGTACTTTTCACAAAAAATATACAAATGTAAAATATAAAACCCTATCACCATCTGTTCAAAGATTATGACCAAGGTTAATGTTTTTAAAGGTACGACAAACTCCGGAGTCAAGATCAAAGGGTCAAGGTTGTTGGTTTCTAAAAATAGCCCTTGTCTCAAAGATTACATATGGGAAGTATAAAGGTGCTGGCCCTTACGTTCAAAAGATTTAGCCAAGGTTAAGGTTTGTAAAAAGTAGGTCAAACTCCAAGGTCAAGTTTAAAGGGTCAAAGTTGTTGATATCCAATTAAAGGTCTTGTCACAACAATTACATAGGTGAAGTATGAATGCTCTAGCCCTTAGCCTACTATTTAAAAATTATGCCCAATTACATATGTGAAGTATGAATGCTCTAGCCCTTACTATTTAAAAATTATGCCCAAGGTTAAAATTTGTAAAAGGTAGGTCAAACTCCAAGGTCAAAGTGTAAAAGTTGTTGATATCCATGAAAGATTACACATGTGAAATATGAAATCCCTAGCCCTTACCATTTAAAAGTTATGGTCAAGGTTATAATTTTATCGTAATTAAAGAAATGTCTAATGTAAAGGTCAAAAGGTCAAAATTGTTGGTTTCAAATGGGAAAACCTAGCCCGGCAAAATATATTAATACTTGAAATATGAAATTCCTAGTATCTGCTGTTTAAAGGTATTTGGATACAGATTTGAAGTTAATATTTCCTGTATACATGTAATATTACGACATGTATATTTTTATAGCATTTCACACAAAAATAAATTAAAAATCTTATTTCATTTAAAAGTTATATAAAAACTTCTAATTTTTTGGCGGGTTTGATTGACACATCCTTGCACTTTCACAAATTTTAACTTTATTCTTAATACTTAGGAAAAGTGGCAATCTTGTTGTGTATAAATGAAAAATATTAAAACTATAATCCAGAAAATTCAGAGTGGAAATGCCCGAAAGCAAAACATACACACAGTACAGTGTCAGTCCGTCCAGTTGTGGTGAGAATTGAGGTTTTTAACAATTGAACGCACCCGGTGAATCGTAAACATCAACAATAACAGAGCTCGTGT